GATCAGTCAGCCGTGAGCATGCTGGCAAGAATGAAAGAGATCATTGGCCAAAGTCAGTTCGATGAAGGACTGTTCAGAGAACTATTTTTATCCAAACTGCCACAGTCAGTTCAGACTGTACTTGTGACACTTCAAAGTGTTCTCATGGATGACTTAGCTGTCTCTGTAGATAGAATTCTAGAGATAACGAAACGGCCAGTTACCGAAGTATACTCAATTACCGAACAGGCTTCGAAGAAGGATTCTGCAATGATAGAGTTAATCAACTCCGTCCAGCAGATGCTTAGGTCAAACAAGCCTAGCAATTCTTCCTATCGTCGTTCTAAATCCCCTCAACAGCAAAACGCACGTGGACGATCTAAGTCCAACACACGCTCCCTCAAAAATCCTGACTGGTGTTGGTATAACAACACCTATGGCAAGGAAGCGAAATGTTGTCGAAAACCTTGTGATTTCGGCAAAGCCTCCAAGTCTGTGGGAAACTATCCCGCCGGCACGCGTTAGCGGCAACCGTCGCCGGTGGCACTAGCCGTTTACTTTACATCCACGATGTAATGAGCCAGACTAGATATCTAGTCGACACAGGCGCCGAAGTCAGCGTCCTTCCTGCTACAGCAGCAGATCGACAGATGGATCCTAACTTCAACCTCCAGGCTGCAAATGGAAAACCAATTGCAACCTATGGTCGGAAATACGTCTATCTGAACGTAGGTTTACGCAAACCTATTCAGTGGATTTTCCTAATCGCTGACGTCACAATGCCCATCATTGGCACGGACCTACTTAATCATCATGATTTGCTCGTAGACGTCCGCCGTAAACGACTAATTGACAACACTTCTAGTTTGTCTATCAAAGGCATAACTTACGTAGGCCCCAGTTTGTCAATCGTTAAGATGAAAGCAATCCTCGATCCAACTTTTCAACCGATTGTTGACAAATACCCGGAACTCAATTGCCCATCTAACGATCTCCCGTGCATAACCAGCAATGTTATGCACCACATCATAACCTCAGGACAGCCCGTGACATCTAAAGCACAACGACTGGCCCCTGACAAACTGAGAATTGCCAGAAACGAATTCGATCATATGCTCACCCTTGGCATCATTCGACCATCGAATAGTCCATGGGCATCCCCGTTGCATATGGTACCGAAAAAGGATAGCAACGATTGGCGACCCACTGGTGATTACCGGCGAGTGAACGCCAAAACAACTCCTGATTGCTACCCTTTGCCTCACATACACGACTTGACGGCAACGTTATCTGGAGCATCTATATTCTCCAAAATCGACTTGGTTAAAGCATATAACCAAATCCCGATGGCAACGGAAGATATTCCGAAAACGGCTATCATCACGCCTTTCGGACTTTTCGAATTTCTACGCATGCCATTCGGCCTCCGGAATGCGGCCCAAACATTCCAACGCTTCATCGATGAAGTATTTCGCGGTCTCGACTTTGTATACGCATACTTAGACGACTGCCTCATTGCCAGTCCAAATAAGGAAACTCACCTTAGACACTTGGACTTGGCATTTGAAAGATTACGCCAACATGGTGTTACCATCAATATACAGAAGTGTCAAATAGGCGTTGACTCACTCGATTTTCTGGGTCACACTATTGACTGTCAGGGCATTCGCCCACTGGCTACTTCGGTCGATCACTCTAAGAAAACGCGTTCTGGACGTCACGTTAGATTCCCAGAATACCTTCACACCTATTTCACATAACTGAGTGACACATCAATTTTTTTTATGTTGCATCATTTAACACAAGTAAACGATATTTTTGCAATAATCGTACATTTAACATGCACTTTTAAAAAAGATTAAATTAGATATATATTTTTTTCCCGATGTTTTGAACTTTACATTATTTTACTGCATAGTAGATGCACGTCATTTTTTTGGTATAAAAAAACGCTTATTTGGTATATTTTTCTTGACAAGGTTCTCAGTATTCTTGTTTTCTTTTCCAGGTGCAACGGGCACTGGACAGGAAACACACGAAGCACCGGATCCAACGAACAATATCGAGGAAGCTATGTACAGATACCCTATTAGCATAGGCAGACAGACCAACAGGCTCTCGATCAAGCCGCTCGGAAGATTTTTTTCACCCATCAGGGAACCATCGAGATTTTTCTACTTCCGGCTGGTCATGTCTTAGGGTGCTCACAAACCCACTAGGGGGGGAGTGAGCTGTAGCGGTAAATAATTCCCCAAAATTATTAACCACAGCAATCATCACTCAACATTGGATGCTGACCATCACTGTTTAAGTCGACTTGTTTATAAGGTGTCAAATAGGCGTTGACTCACTCGATTTTCTGGGTCACACTATTGACTGTCAGGGCATTCGCCCACTGGCTACTTCGGTCGATCACTCTAAGAAAACGCGTTCTGGACGTCACGTTAGATTCCCAGAATACCTTCACACCTATTTCACATAACTGAGTGACACATCAATTTTTTTTATGTTGCATCATTTAACACAAGTAAACGATATTTTTGCAATAATCGTACATTTAACATGCACTTTTAAAAAAGATTAAATTAGATATATATTTTTTTCCCGATGTTTTGAACTTTACATTATTTTACTGCATAGTAGATGCACGTCATTTTTTTGGTATAAAAAAACGCTTATTTGGTATATTTTTCTTGACAAGGTTCTCAGTATTCTTGTTTTCTTTTCCAGGTGCAACGGGCACTGGACAGGAAACACACGAAGCACCGGATCCAACGAACAATATCGAGGAAGCTATGTACAGATACCCTATTAGCATAGGCAGACAGACCAACAGGCTCTCGATCAAGCCGCTCGGAAGATTTTTTTCACCCATCAGGGAACCATCGAGATTTTTCTACTTCCGGCTGGTCATGTCTTAGGGTGCTCACAAACCCACTAGGGGGGGAGTGAGCTGTAGCGGTAAATAATTCCCCAAAATTATTAACCACAGCAATCATCACTCAACATTGGATGCTGACCATCACTGTTTAAGTCGACTTGTTTAGCTGAAGGCTTACGGTCAAGCATCCCCGCCATTTGGTGCTCCGTCGTGTCACGTGCGTGCACGATTACTAGCTAGCTAAGCATTCACCTCTACCCGCGATTTTGTCCCGAAATATAATACGTACTTTGGACGACAAAATCTGGTCTTTTGCTTTACCATTTGGTACTCGAAGAACGAACACTATAGTGGTTGTTGGTATAAGATCTTGCGTTAGTATAATCCGTACAGTTCGCGAACGTCGATACCCGCAGTCACCAAAAGGTCACCAAAATTATCGAGTACCTAAAACACAAGGGTTCAAATGATACATACATGAATGTCGCTATTAATATAGTAATTATCGAGTTAAGACAGTAAGAATTGCAAATTTATATTAGTGTGTGATTATGTCAGTCAAAATTTCCGATTAGAGTGTATATGGCAACTCTTCCTAAAGCTTACGCTTATAGCTCTAAAAATCGTTGGACACCACATCTACATGATTCCCAGATAATTCTGTGAATGGTCGCTGTAAAAAATCACATAGTGTAGCTCCAAGACAATAGCAAAATGCGGGGAGCTAATGAAAGCAAACACAACAACAGGAAAAGTGATGCACACCTCAGATATACTTGCTTACCTGATCACGACGATGTTGAAGTTATTCAAATCCAGCACAGTACTAGAATATGTTGCAGTATGTATTTAACTCAGAATTTCTGGCGGAAAACAGCGAATGCTGCAAGTGTTAGTAGAACATAGTGCCATTTCTGTCTATTTAAGATCACGCATCTTTGTTTGTATCTACCGCTTCTGTTGACCTTTGGCAGCCTAAACACCACACAAGTCCATAGAGTCAATGCACAAAAACTTCTGAAAAGGACGTCGTTCTGCTAAAAAGCATCTAAATAGTAAAGCGCGAAGTCGCCACAAAGATTAAGTTCAGATCAATTCCAAAAGCTGTGTCAACAAACTATTTGAGACCAGCTGACTTATATGTAGGTACCATAGCTTCATCTTTTATTCCTTTACTAACACCACTCTTTCCTCTTACCGCCCACATAATAATGCTTCTCTGAGGCTTTTTTGACTCTCTTGAGGAATCTTGGAAGGAAATGGTACCTGCAAGTCTCTGAGGTGTTACTACCCTAGTACAAAACATGAGTTCCTTACGAAACAAATCAACACTCGTTCTCCTACTGGGTTCGGTGAAACTAAGCAGTCTGGGCACAGGTTTCCCATCCCGGTGTACGCCAAAAGAATGAGAACGGTAGTGAAATGCCAAGAAGCGATAATCAAAAAAGCAAATCTTTCTAAAGGTTCATCAAAGAAATATTGGATATCATAAAAAGGAACTGACGACTATACGAAGAGCACTGTATAATGACATACAGACAAATAAATTCCTTCCATAATACAATCAAAATTTAGGCTCAATGATGTTGGACAAAGCATCTACTAGAGATGTTGTTTTAATGTATCGGTGGTTTCCAGAAGTATTCAAGTGAGTACATCGTGAGTTTAAATTTGTTTTCTTCTTTCGGGAAATCTCAAGAAAGTAGTGGTGAACTGAGTCAAGGTTTGAATACTTTTCCTCTTCTGGGTAGTGATGATCGGGTTATTGGCACCCTGATTATGTGGGTAGTCTTTTTTTCAGAAAGACACTATTGGGAGACCGTATGGTATCTGAACTGCGCATTGGACTATTAGAAGTACGAGGTTTCCCCACCTTCACTAAATGACTCTTTAGACAGTTTTCGTGCACATGAAATTGACCTATTTCTGGACTGGGTTGCAATAATTGCCTGGTTTCAGCTTATTTGGAATAATATCGGTTCAGCGCACGCAAGTAGGTAATCAGGTCTTCGATGATGCCATCCATCTGAGGTATCCGAGATACCAATCTTGAGACCAATTCAAAGTAATTCACCATACAAAGAGTGCATACTCTTTCTTCTACTGACAAGTTACATCAAGTTAGGTCTGAAAACGAATAAAGTGACCTGAACTCGCGTGAACTGGTAACCCTCAAATGTCAGGGGTTTACCCAAGAACTGCATCCTCCACTGGTCTAGCCATCATTCGTTTTCTGTCTCTGTATTGCAAGTGACTATACGTAGAGCTCGTGTTTCCACCACCTAACATACTGATGCTAGGGTTACCTATATTTAGTGGACGGTTTGGTATTATAATTTCCCGTAGGACGGATGAATGTAATGTAGTATTGTTGTCCCAGCCTGAAGCTGCAGATGGGTTTTCAAGTCGCTTTTGCAAAACACAAGGATAGTAAGTGGAGTTTGGGCATTTCGGTGATGCTGATAACTAGGTGACTTTGCGAGGACAATTTATTGTTCATAATTACATCAGTACATTCGCATGACTTCCTGAATTGCTCTGTGTTGTTTCATTCCCTGTTTTCATTGCAGTTTCTCGTCTTTCCAAGATGGGTTTTGCAGCGTTTCGACTGCGTGTGTTTGGTATTGGTTCATTGATCAAAGACGGCGATTTACCTTCGTCTTCACTTAATTACATTACATTTTACTACTTCCACATTATGACACTCTAGGGTTTTAAAAGTGACATAATTAGGTGAGTAGAGGGGTCAGTCACTGAATCCTACTTATCGAATTAACTATCACGTGGAGTCGAGGTGATACATCCCCGGATAGTTAGGAAACTACAAGAAAGTTACACAAGCGAGTTAGAAATGCGCTGATGTGATTGTGAACAATAATTTGTACTAGTCAAGTCATCCAGTTATTCACTCTATCACTGAGTTATGTCGAATAAACTTAGTGTGAAAAACATGTAGGTACCAACACTTAATTCAATATTTAATTTATATCCCTGCAGCATCGAGATTTTTGTTAACTATTTACTTTACATTCATTTGACAGGACTAGCAAATTTAGTGCTTATCTGCCTATCAAAATGTCAGTCACGTCAGAATCTTTACCGACCGAAAATAAGCGCCCGAAAATTGAAAATGGCGTCTCATCCAGCCCCGTCAAACTCCGTTTCAAGAAATTAACTGACCAAGCAACGACTCCTACTCGTGGTTCAGCATTTGCTGCTGGTTACGACCTTTATGCTGCATATGACGCTATTATTTCCGTTGGAGGCAGAGGATTGGTCAAAACTGACATACAAGTAAGCAGAAACGAATTAATGTTGTCATTCCTTTACGCTTCATCAGTACATCAGGTTGTCAATAGAATCTCATGTTTCGTTACGCAAAAGCACTTTGTGTACTAGGCGTGATATCGCATAAGTTGAATTAGGTAGAGTGAAAACCGAACCGACGAATGGGAGTCGGCTGCTGACGCTAGTGATCTACATTTCGATAATTGGACGTCCGAATTGCATACATGGTGTCACCCTGAAGCTAGCAACGTTTCACAGAACGATATTCAGACTTGTGGAGGTCCCAGATATTTTCATCGCTTGGAGTCCAAGTTTTGCTAGCACAAAAAAGCTTTTTAAATCAACTAACATTCCTTGAACTCTGTGGGTACTTGTCTAAATATTTTGTTGAGGATAAGGTGCCATGTTAAGACCCTTACCAAGTGTCATTGTATGTATTTCGTTCTCTCAGTTTTTAAAAGATAATCGTACAGATATGGATTCATGAACACCATACTGAAGTGAAATTCCAGCCAGTGATGCAGAAACAACATAAACATGCTAAAATTAGTATAGATTGCTGGAAAAGTCTATGGAATGGAAACTTTAACACTTGAGTGTTTAGTTCATTACACAGAACAATTGTCTAACTGCAAAATCTCCAGTCTTTATTGTTTTAGTAGTTCCGGAAATAGTGTAACGCCTGAGAAATCGCTCGGGATTTTTCTCTACTATGTAATATTTATAAGTGCAATGCAGTCACTTAACGTACACAACGTGATTACCCCCTTCGACTTATATTCACAACATTTTGATACCTAATAGTGTTCGTTTGGTGTCAGGATCAGACACTGTTTCGTTAGTTCAGCCATCATTGTATGCAGAAAGTTGATACATGACAAAGTTCAAGGTTTTCAGTTGCATTGCTTTCTAGTTTTATACTATTTTTGAAATGATTAGCAATTTTGTTCATAGGCAATCGCTGTAGTACTTATTCCTTATTTATGTCATTCGGTGTTATCACGTGGAAGATTTATGAAAGGATGAAGTGATTGCCGCAAGTTTTCCCTCAATGAGCTTTTCGTAATCCTCAGTTGTGTGTATTATAATCCACTTGTTTCTCCTGATTGTCATTTATTTAATAGATTGAATTGCCTGATGGATGTTACGGCCGCGTTGCTCCGAGAAGTGGTTTAGCCTTGAAAAATGGAATCGATGTGGGTGCTGGTGTTATTGATCAGGACTACCGCGGTAATGTTGGCGTCGTACTTTTCAACTTTGGAGAAGAAAACTTCGTGGTAAGCTGATTATGTTGTGGCAATCCTTTGACTTTTATGAATTCCTAGCTTAAAAGTGTAGCTGTACATATGTTTATTCTATGCTTTGAGTGTTCCTACTCCTGTTTTAAGTTTGCACTTAAATGGTTTTATCTACAAACTATTTAACTATGAGCTTTTTTCAAGCATGTCTCCACTACAATAACTTGGTGCGTTATATTTGTTTGCATTGATTGCGGTCTTTCAAGTTTCTGAAGTGCTGTCATTTCCCACGGTTTCTATCATAAATCTTTTGTAACCATTATAAGAGTGGGAAATAAATTTCTCACCAGTTAGGTTATTCAAATCTTAATCGATAATACACTACTTATATTAGTCACACTAGAGATTTACCACGGACTCACTCGATTTTTAGCTATATTTATTAGGACTTAACAGGAAAGAAATCTGACCATAGAAGCTGCAATCATTCCATTATTAGCAGAAATATTTTTAGCCCATTCAGGAAAATTCATACTAAGCCAGTGACATAAAAAACGAATCTGTGCTCAAACCGTGTAGACTATTTTATCAATTCTAAAAGTTGGAATCATGTTTGTAAAATATCTGAATAAACTTTTTGGGTTTTACTGTTACTGGAGTAAAGTACAGCTTCTTTGCACTTAGTTTTACTTAACCTCGTATAAATAAAACAATGCTTTTCCCATAGTGCATTTTGTCCACTTATAAAAGAAGTCTCTTAAGGACCATCAAATGATCATCAGATGAAGAGATGAATTGCAAAGTATTCCAAAAGCTTTACTGGTCGGTGGATACTCGACAAAGCTGATTTCAGAGTGGATTAAAATTGAAAGCTTTGATTGAAATAACTTGTTCATTCGCTGGTGATTAAGTCCTCAGAATAATCACTAATTGGTTATAGGCATCTCATTGCTTGCTGGCTACGAAACTAAAAATTGTTGCTGAGGTTTGAAACATGATTGGAAAAGGTTATTCGCGTATGGGGTGCATTAAACTTTATTGCTATATTATGTAGTTACATGTACACTAGGGAGGACGAAAAGGATTCTTGCTAAATATCTGACGAGGAATTTGTCTTTAAAAGATTAAGGACTACATGGGCATCAGTGTTAGGCTACCACGAGTAACTGACAGAAGAAATCAGCCCAAGTTACCCAGTGTTCACTTTGATTTGTGTCTTTTAAATATTTCTAAAATCTATATGTAACTCATCTTAATGTATATGTTGTTCGTATCACCTACTTTTGCATAACCTTATGACTTATTTGTCAAATTTTAGGTTAAAAAGGGCGATCGTATAGCTCAGTTGATTTGCGAGCGTATTTTCTGTCCAGAATTAGTGGAGTGTGAATCACTAGAGGAAACACAACGTGGCTCAAGTGGTTATGGTTCTACTGGAGTATGAGATGTAATACATGTACGCCCAGATTTCCTATTTTCCTAATACAGATTTTGTACATGTAAACAGTTTTCTTAGTTCTTCATTGACATTGATAGTTCAAAGCAGCCTATTTTGAAATATATTTCGAGTGATCTTGTCACTTGTACAAGGTTACATTTTCAGTCTGGTCAGTAGATTAATATTTGTCAATTGTTGGGTCACAGGGATTTGATTGGTCACAGGTCTGTTAAGTACTAGGATCTTTTTAACTTCTCATAATAATGATTTTGGCAATAAAATTTACATATGAATACATTCTGCAGAGGAATATTGACTTCTCAGTCGACGAACATAAGGATTCGGTATTGGAAATCGTAGAATTGGATGAACAGAAATAAACCTAATTTTTCTAGTGATTTTGCCTTCAGCATGTAGAAATAAATCTTTGACCTTCTCGGTCAACCTTTCGCGTGTGAACAGTGGTCGAGTGATCTGTCCAATAGTGTTATTGTCTTGATATAAAAGTAATAACTAACCGACGAATTTCAGTACCTTCATAACTGCTTTAACAATAAATTAATAAGTGATAATGTCAAACGTGTATTACTGTCTCTGACAGGAAAGGGGAAATCGCCTTGCTATGATGGGGATGGTTTGCAACCTTTTTGTTTTTAACTCCATTATGGATAAGATTTTATTTCGATAAATCACACAGTGTTGTACAGTAATATTAACCGATGACGTTTCGAGCACAAACTATTGCTCATAATCATATCAATTTACTCACACAACTTTTTTCCTTCATTTATATACATGTGTGGAATCGATTAGATGTTGGAATAAAAATCAATATAGGATAATATGCATTCAGAAATTATAATATGCGCGTTATTGATCAATTGCAATCAGATGGGAAATAAGACGACTGGCCCTATTCAGGTAGGTAGTTACCTGGGGTTCCAGTGGGAAGTCGTGACCAGTAGGGTGTGAGGACAAATACTCGCCGAAGACATTGGATAGCGGTTGCGCTATATCGTGAATTGGCAGAAGTTAGAATTCATGGGCCATTGGATGGAATCCCAGTGGCTGGATGGTATACGAGCTCGCCTTGTAACTAGAAGGTCCTGGGTTCGAACCCCGGTGGATGCGTACTGCTGGAGAGTCCCAAACTAGAACGAAACAGCTGTCCAGTACTCCCAGGTTTTCCAATGGTTCTCTAACCAATGTCAGCTCATGATGAAATGCTGTAACCAAATCCCTACAAACCAATACTTAAATAAGACGAGTGTTATTTTATAGTCATAATAATTAACTTGTTAGAATGTTGTGATGTGTTTCAATTGAATTGGTTTTAGGTTCAGCTGCGATTCTATTCGTCCAGTAGCCATCGCTTCGTTGGGTATTAGCAAGTTCTGTACCAGCTGTGCTCTCAATATTCCAACGTTAGTTTAAGGCTGGTTTCTGTTGTTTCAGGTCTGTATCTGACACTCAGAGAAACTTGTACTTAGTTTTCACGAAAAAGATAGTTTTGGATGGTTAGATTATACTTTATCTGTCTAGCATTGAGTATAATCAAGTCGATTCATGTTTGGTTTCTGATCGTTAATAGAGACTTGTGATATGGATTCCTGTTGTGAAGAATGTAACGAAGTGTGAGTGTTTTTTCAAATGGGTTTTACAACACTAAATAAATGTTACTCCACCAAATTTCGTAGTTACCATTTTACCTATTTGCCCATTTTCGGCTGTCAAGTCGTTGAGTCAAGCTTAAATGCAGGTATACGAAAACGCAGTGTTTGGAGCGCTTTTAAATACCGATACTAGGTTTACGTTAGATGCTATTACGGGGATCGACAGCATGGGAATTACCCATATACTGCGTTGTTAATTCATGCTATATGTTGCTTGGAGTTCAGTGGGTTCCATAGTGGTATACACGTGATCGTAAAATGCCATACGAACATAAAATTAATTGTTATGTATCTGTAAGCTGGGAACAGTGGTGATAAAAGCCTATTCAATTCTGCTGTATACTGCACTCAGTCAATTCCTTATTCCCAGAAGGGATATCCTGAAGCTATTTCCCTAAACTGGTGAAGAGTTTGCCACACGGTAATATAAGTGCTACGATTTTCAAGCATCTAAATGGATGATTAGAAGTTTGGTAAATTTGACAATTCCACCTCCATAGTTGACTATCTTGGAAGTAATTTCAATTAAAGTTTTTCTCTATTACACATTTCATTTGTTCCCACTAGCTTTGCACTTCCGCCTCTCAGTCTTCGTGTGTCAATATGCGCATACACAGAGTGCTCACATTTATGTCAAATTAAACTAGTGCTTTTCACTAGTCGAATTCGTGTAAGCAAAATAAAAAGTTGCTGAAATCTCTGTTATAGTCGAAATTCATTTACCGATGATTTAATACTTAGTTACTTATAACCCGATGTTGACATTTCGACGATTAAAAAAAGTTTTAACTTTGTAGCCGATAATTGACAGGAATTTTCAGCGAATTGTGTGATAAAGTGTTGATAAGATGGTGTTGCGGACTGCAGAAATTTTACCGAGAAATCAATGTTTAAAAAGTTTCATACTAAAATTTGAGCTGTGTTAATTGGCTTTCAGAAGTATTAAAACTAGGTTTCTCAGGTGTTTCATCGAGATTGTTGTAGCTGTCTTCGTTTCAATTCCTGTTTTTAAATGAAACGGAGTGCAGCAAATGCATAGCATACTTCCAAGATTCTTTGACTGGACACTAGTAACTAGTCTGATGTGTCTAGTTCTTTCTTTGTTGCAGACTGAATTCTATCAGTCAGGTTTGCAATGTGGCCACCATTCTAGGTAGCTTGCCATCACGGTGCACATTGATCTGATGATATTATATGGTTGGAGGTAATCGACAGGAAGCTTTGGACCTAGGTTTCGTGCTAGCTGGCACTCATCAGTAAATCGTATCTGCAACCTTGAAGGGACTCATGTCCCTTCTGATATTCGGACTCGTGGCTAGGCACATCACACTAGTTACTAGTGTCCAGCCAAAGTATCCAATACAGTCCTACAGGAGGTCAATCGCGAGCCCGAATATATATTTGTTTTAAGAACTGTTATATTATCATTATTAATATTCCCTTGGGTTCCGAGTGGAACAATGGGCTTCAAGAGCACATCTCCACTTTGTCCTGTCTTCTGCCACCCTCTTCAGCTTGGACCACGATCGCCCACAATCTCTTATCTCTTCTTCGCACGATCTCCGTGTCACCCTCAGACGCCCAACTCGTCATTTCCCACTGGGATTCCACTCAAGCAATGGCCTGCATTGCACGCCATGTCATTCGACGGCCTCCTCAACGTATTCCCGATCCATCTCCACTTTCTCCCACATATTTGTTGAGCAATCGGCTCTTGGTTGGTTTGTTGGCTGAGTTGCTTGTTGCTTATTCTTTCTGGCTGGCCATTTGATCTTCAGTATGGAGTTCTAAGAACTAAAGATATTTAATACATTTCAGTATGAAACTTGTACATAACTGTGTCTGAGTGACATCACAAATATGAGAAGCTTTCCTTTCAAAATATTTCCAGGTTCTCACACCCCTGATATGCTGAATTATAGTGTTCCCGTTAAGTTAGAAAAGTGTGATGAGGTCGGCACTAGTAGAAGAACACAACAGGTACGATAAGAATTTCTATCAGTGTAAAAATGGAATGAATTTAAGTTTGTAAAAGAAAAGTGGTCTTATAATTCCAAGTTATGAAAGTTTGTTTAGATGGGTCCCAGTGGCTGAATAGTATACGAGCTCGCCTTGTAACTGGAAGGTCCTGGGTTTGAATCCCATTGGATGCGTACTGCCGATGATTCTTAAACTAGGATGAAACAACTGTCCAGTACTCCCTGGTCTGTGCGTCGGTGGCGCAGCGGTTAGGACTCTCGCCGACCATGCACATGCTCCGTAGTTCGATACCCTGCCGGCGCACACCCGGTAGCAATGGTCGGTCTGCAAAATTTGGGCTACCGATATCACATGCTGAAAATTCCATACTTGTACCAAAAATACTGTGTGGTTTCAAGCTATAATAAAAAAGAAATACATTGAGTGAAATCAGAATTTGCACAATAAACTTCCGGTAAAGAATATTTTTGGACCATTTCACTGGCTTGGAATTTAACAATGAATCATTCAATTCATAATTTTATTTTACTTCCCTTGTACTAGTTAGTATAAGGTACTCATATATGGTAACAGATCTCCAGAAGTTTTGTTTGTCTGGTGCTCATTTATTCGAACAAAAATCAGTTGTTCCAAGTCTTCTTAGGCGAGCACACTCGCTGATAACGGATGTGAAAGAAAAAGAAGAAATATCAAACATTGCTGAGACTCTCAAACAAAACAACTACCCAACGAACCTCATCAACAAAATCAACACTGGCACTATGTATGGTCGAAAACGTATTCCGAAAACATGGACCTCAACAGTTGTCATTCCATATAGAATGGAGATGTCAGACGATATCCGAAGAGTACTCAATAAGCTCGACATTAGAGTTTTCTTCAAAACATCAGACACACTGTGAAACAACCTTGTCCACATAAAAGACCGAATCCCTAAATATTCTCTATCTAATTGTGTCTATAAAATAAAATGCCTGGAATGTGATACGATATAAATCGGACAAACATCTCAAGAAATCAAAATCAGAAGAAATGAATACCGTAGAGCATCTGTTCGACTACCGAGAAATCCAGTTGGACCAGAAAAGCTTGAAAAATCATCAGCCATAGGTCTACACGCTATAGAATCAGGCCACAAAATTGATTTTGACAATATTGAAACAATCCAGAAAAATTTCAGCAATCACAAGGAACGTCTAATATCAGAAGCACTTCATATCAAGTGGAATCCAAATTGTCTGAATAGGAATGATGGACTAAAACGGAATTTGACCTGGATACAACACCTCCCTCCCCCATGAAATGGCAAAATCAACACGAATGTGATAAGCAATTTCATTATGTAAACACACGCTGTTTTTACAATTTTACACGATTATCAAATCCAACAACCTACACCTGCTTTTGTTATCT